TTGTTTGTGCCTGTCTATCCGTTAATGTGGCGGTTCAGTGATACGGAAATGTTTCTACGCTTGACTTTTTAACCAAAGCAATGAGCAGAACTCACTAAACATCTGAGAGAAACTGCAGCCTTCAGTAATAATTCTTTTTTACCCTACCAACAGCCACCATATGACTCAGTGACAACTAAACAAAAAAAAAATCAACTGGTGCAGCGTCAACAAAATTGCTTTCTTTAGGTTGGCTTTCTGTGACGGAAAGTGAGCGAAGGAAATACAGTAAGAACACAAAGTGAGAAAGTTATTTAGAGAGGAGAGCGTTTCATTAATTTTGCATTAATGAGACTAACGCTATTCTGTGTGCTGCTGCTTCTTTTAATATATCTGACGTTTGGGCCTCTGATGTGTTACTTCCTGCTGCTGCTGAGGACGTCTTGGTGCAGATATGACACGACGTGACTTTGCTACCTCATGACTTCCAGTGAAGGGGTTTGTTTTTGGTTTGTATCCTTGCTAACCACACAGGAAACCGACAGCATTAATATTTTTTGTCTGTTGCTCTGGCAACTGCCACAACATGACTGAAGGCGAGCCAACTGGCAGCTTCTACACCCCCATCTGACAGTACGCTCGTCACTCAGATACCATTTAGCAGTGAGAAATACTGTATGGGGCCATTTTTCATCAGGATTTAATCCACAGCGTGTCGTGTTATATGCTCGGACTTCATGTTAGGAAGAAAGATTAGTTTACTGTTCTTCAAAGAAATGATCTGTGAATGAAGGTTTTTTGCTGTTTTTTCCAAATGCACATTATTCAGGACCTATTGTGAATAATTAAGCATAACAGTGTGTTGCGATTTTCATGCCGTATTATTTATTTTTAACTATTTAATACACCTTCCATACAGAGCCAGGCTAGCGGTTTGCCACTGCTTCATGCCAAGTCACACACAGCAGCTAAACACACACGGACTCAAACTTCGATCATACAACTTTTTCAGAGCAGCAGCTACTGTGGCCACAAAAGGAAGGAAGGAAAGACCATTTATTTTAAATCAGCGTGAAAGTGTATTAAATACTATTGACTTTGTCAACGTATCTGGACGAGCAATCACATGATTCTCCTTAAAACAGCACCTACAGGTGAAGGTGGTACACGCAAAGACATGGCACATAAAACTGACATTTTGTTAGTTAAATAAATACAAAAACTGAGCAATCCAGTGAAAAAACTCCTTTGTTTGTCACGCCTTCAAATTGATTCACAGTTTGACACCAGAGGGGTCTGCTGTTCTCTTTGGCACTGAAGTGTCTCATCATATCAAAATCTACAGTTGTCTACGGCCTTCAGGAAAAAGGCGTGGAGTCTGATAAGGGATCTAAAAAGATGATTTGACATTAATTCCAAGAATTCCACTGAAGGAAATCTCCTACAAGTGGAGATTTGTGCTGCCTCAGTCACTAAGCAACTTGCAGCCATTCAGTCAACCAGAAATTCTGCATCCTGTCATAGAAAGCTTCAAAATAAGGTGAGAGCATCTATTGAAAGGTACAAGTTGAGGTTTAAGCAGGAGAATGATCCTCAACACACTTTAAATCCACCAAGAAGTGTCTGAAAAAAGGCTTATTGAAATGCTGTGGGGCTATTTGAAACAAACATATGCAAAAAAACCCCAAAAAACCCATAGAGATCTTGCACTTGAAGGAATTTTGCATGAAAATGACTAAAACTTTGAGGAAGCTGATGTCAGAGACCAGAGCAGAACCATGTACAACACCTGCTAGTCATTTCTGCTGAAGTGGGCAGCAGCAGCTTCTGAAACCATTTATTTTTAACATTCTTTTTCCACAGAAGACTATTACATTTTTGTTAAATAAATGATTGGAAAAGCTCTTTTTTCACGTAGCGTTGTTAAACTCTGTCACTTTTTCATGTATTTTGTCCAACTACAGTATGTGAAGAAGTACTCTGGTTCATATTGAGTCTGCTTTTTTTTCCCCCCATTTGACTGTATGGATGAAGTTTGCTAACTTTAGTCACTACAAGCGACTTGTGAAACCACAAAATGAAACTAATTTATTGCTCATAAAATCAACTTATGAATCAAGCAGCATTGTTCTCAGTAGAGCACACACAGAAAAACGTTCATATTTAACTCTGGTGCAGCATCAGTGCACTTAAACACACATTATTTTCAACACAGACTTTGTATACCAGTCATTTTCTATTCATATGGAAAAATATCTGCAATATCAACAGTGTTTATGTATATTTCTTGTTTATTTTTATTTTTATACTGATGTAGAAAGGATGTAAGTGGATTATCTTATCTCTAATCTTATACTATGAGGGAGGTAGTTATGTCTGCTTTGAGAAGTCTGTCTTAAATGTGGTGACATGTCACTGGCATCCGTCTTATCTCATTCTTTCACTCCTTCCCTTCAGGGCAGCAGTGGCTGATAAAAAAAATGTTTTTCCTGATGCAGCTAACTCCACATTATCAGCTACTTAAATTGCAGCATTACAACCCAGAAATTAGATCATGTTGGTGTTTAAAAGCACTTAGTTTTGTCTTTGTTCTAGTACGATACCACTGACTTTATATGTAAGTCAAGTCACTGTTTTTTCAAGAGCACATTTAAAAACAACAGCTATTACAGCAAAGTGACCCAAGAAGGTAATTTAACCCTGTCCAGGACTTTCATGTTGCCATACGTAGAAAGTCTTTCGGGGTCTATTGGACCCCAAGAAAGAATATGTGCAAAATATTAGTTGGTATTCATTAGAGACTTTTATATGATGTTAAATACATTTTCTGATAAGTTGACGTATTTTTGGTTCCCAATGCATGACAAATGTCCCTCTTTTTATATTTAAAAAAAAAAAATCTTCGCCGCTATAGCTGACCTGGTTGAGCTGGCGTCCCATGTTCAGAGCTACAGTTCCAATGTGGAGGTCATGAGTTCAAATCACGCTCATGACCCTTTGCCACATGTCCTCCCGCCATTCTTCTCCCCTACTTTCCTGTCTCGCTCTCACTAACACTATCCAATAAAGGCACAAAGGTCAAAAAAATAAAAAATCTTAAAAAATAAAAAAACAATACCTGTCACCTAAACTAAATGGCCTGGGGTCCAAAAGACCCCCAAAATCCTGAATAGAGGTAAGGTGTGATTTAACCTGGGTAATGTACATATCAAGGATTAAAACTTTGATAAAATGTGACTTTACTTGACTCTAATGCATATTAAGGCTGAGACCCTTAATGGTTATGGAGAGGAACCTAACTAATGTAATAATGTAGCCAAGACACTACAGTGTTATAAATTACAGAAGTTAATCTAACTAATATAAATATTAAGGCTAAGTCATTACTGCATTAGTACCTGGGGAGATTAACCTGACAAATGTAGAGCTACTTTTTTGATTTTTGACACAAAAGCCCAATATAGTTGATTAAACGACCCATAATGTGTCCTGAACCGAGGTTTTGAGGTCTAGTCTGGTGGCCATCTAGGCAGTGCCGGACTCCTCCTGCCTGGCTAATCAAAAAATATGCAAAGAGGTGAAGCGTGAGTGGAGCTGAGGCCGACCATGCAAACATCTGTGGACTCTCCTGTAATCTCAGCCAGCTGTCACTCAAAGCAGCCACACCCTTAATGATGCATAACTTTAAGCCTTGATACAATTAAAATAGGCGAGATATATAAAAATTCTCCGTCCTTGCAGTTTCCTGAATAGGACAATTAGCGATAGATACCAAAAGAGTCTTCAGTACCAGGCTATAATCATGTTTATTTCTGCTGTAAAGTTGGACATTTTAACATGGAACTGCAGCTTTTGGCACTTTAATTTATTTTTCAGCCCTGGAGGTTTCTGATTGATTGATGCACTAAATATTTCATACATAGTGTAAAAGTGGGCCACAGACAAAATGTGGGTACGAGTGTTTTACCGAGGCTGCGGTGTCGGATGCAGGTCTTGAGGCCAGACAGGAACTGACGTCGTCCCTCCTCTTGTTGAAACAGGAAGCAGCTGTGGCCCATGTAGGCCGGGTGCAGATACACAGCAAACACATCTGGAGATGACACCGCCGAAGAAGAATCCTCCTTCGCTCCTGGACACGCGGGAAAGTGTTAAAGATGTGGCTTAAAGGTGTTCGACAGTAAAAGCAGCTGGCCTTCATGCTAGCAACTGATAATCCCCTCAGACAGGCCAAACTGTATCTTTGAGTTGTAGTTTGTAACTTTATTTACCTGCAAATGTGCAAAAAAGATTTAGCTTAAACTTAAGATTTGAATAATAAATGCTGTCAAGCTCGAACTTGACCAACATCCTGTGTATTAGATTTTTTGGATTCAGTTTTGTTTGGCACAAAAAGATCTTCAACACATCTTTATCGTGCAACTTCAGCACTTTTCCTATTAGTACGAAATGGGAAGTACATCATTCTGAAAGTTGTCTAACTTCCCTTTATGTTTCCTGAGATCTCTCTGTTTGAATCCAAGTTGTTTGTCACATCCTTTTTGTAAAGGTCTAATAATGCATTGTCTGAAATGTAGGATGGTAGAAACCTGTATTTCGAGTACTGTATTTTAAAACCCCTTGTACATATACACTGCCAGTTCAAAACATAAGCACTCCCACATTGTAAGGTCAACCCCTTATAGCATGAGCAGCTGTCTGGCAACGGCAGGAAGAAAATCTCCCTATTAAACAGAAATAAGCATCTGGCAGAACCAGGCTGTGGAGGGCAGCCATCTGCCTCGACTGGTTTCGGGTGAGAGAGAGAAACAGATAGTAGATTTCTACACCATAAATTCTTCCGCACAAGGAGAACGTCTCAGTCAGCACCATAGACTGTATAAAAGATGGACGTAGCAACCGGTCCCGAAAAATGAAGCCAACCAGGAAGTGTCAAAAACCTGCAATATCACTACGTCCGCTAGCTGCTGGCTCCAAAAAGCCCTGGCTCCCATAGAAATGAATTGGAAAAGAAGTGATCACAGATCACAAAATACCGCATTCCTACAGCTCAGGATTTTTTTAAAATTAGTTTTCATGGTCAAGTCCAGAGATCAGGTGGCCAATCTGAAAATAAATCACTACTGAATTTTTAAAAAATCGTCAACATTTTGCGGGGCAAGGGGCGTGGCTGGCTTGATTGACAGTCGGCAGCGACCATACAGACAAAGTGAGCAGAAGGCGGTAAATGTGGGCGGGCAGAGAGGGCCCGCCTCTCAATCCGTCTGACCAATCGCTGCTCCTATGGCTCCGCCCCCCTCCGACGATTTTTGCGTCACTGGCTCCAAAAATTCAAGATGTCAACCAGGAAGTAGCAAAACCCTGGCTTCATTTTCTCAGGGCAGAAACCAACGGGTGACGAAGCTACGTCCATCTTTTATACAGTCTACAGTCAGCACAGGTAACCCATGCTTCATCACGTAGATTGATAAAAGGCTGTTTACATGCTAGTACAGGAGTTAAATACCATTGAGTATTGCAGCACAGGTTTTCTCCAGGTGAGCCCTGGACGCCTCCTCTGTGGTGAACACGTTGCCTCCTGCTGGCTGGAGGACCAACTTAGCTGCACATCCACGATTGAACGTCTACAATTGGAAACACATTTAGCAACCAGAATACAAACACAAATGTCATGTTTTGTGTGTGGAAGTGTATTGTGTGTGTTACCTCCAAGCTGTCATGTATCTCCACTTTGTAGTCTCTCCTCAGGACGACGTATCTCTCTTTGCATTTCTTTCCCTGCTCATCCCAGCAGGAGAACTTAGCCGGCCCTTGATACAACACCTCTTCTGGAGGACACTGAGGCTGCACATACACAAAAACATACTGATGAAATTTTAACCTCTGTCGTGGAGACGGGCCAAGGAATCGTAAAGTCTCGCACAACACTTTAAGCTGCCATTAAAGCTGTCGGCACTTTTACTGATAAACTCAACGAATATCAAAACTCAGAGTCAGGCAAAGTCAGTAGCAATTTTTAGATTAGATCGCTTTATTTATTTTTTATTTTACACCATTGTCTCCTGATTTATAGTCAATCTTACTTTTATCAAATGCAGTTGTGGCAAATGCCAGCTCACTTAGTAAATACAAAATGTGAGGCTTGTAGTTCACTAATAGTCTAACTGGTCTCTTTTATACCACATAACTGTTTTTGCAACATGTCAGCCATTGATTTTAGCTAAGTCATGCTAACATGATTTTGCACATGCATGTTTTCTTCCTTCAAAACAAGGTTAAATCTCCCTTATTATGGTTGTTTAGCCAGTTGATGTCAGAAGTCAAAATATAGTTGTGAACCATAATGTCAGTCACAAGGTCAGCTTTAGAGATCCTATATTTGATTTTTTTAAAAAAGGCAAAATAAATCATTTGAAAATAGCACAGATTTGCTGCATCCAGCATTCAACCAGTGTTGGTTGACATTGATGGACTGATCTGTTCAGCTCCTACCCTGTGTTTGAGCAACAGGCCCCTCCCCTCTTTCTTAGGCTCCACCTCCTGGTGTAAATGTCCCAAGTAGGCGACAGAATACTGCTGACGGTAAAACTCACTGAAGCTCTGGAACGTGTTGTCAACGAGACCTGGATGCACACAGACATATACACGTTAAATCTTTCCTCTAGAAAACACCTGCAGCTCCTCAGAGTTCATCACGTTAACATTCACACATGCACACTTATGTATTATCTAAAAGTTACAATTAAAGGAAGAACACAGTCCAGATTATTCACAATGATTTTAAGACTAACTTATTCAACCAGAGAGTCAGTTAGTATTCGCCTTCCAAACACTTGACAGTCAGAGGTCATGTTTTCATCACATCACTGGGTTAAGTCTGTTCATTCTTTTAATTTAAAAGAGGCAACTGTACATAATGAACACATTTTTTAAAAATTTGTGGTCTTACAATGTTCAACCGTAGAATTACTAAAAAAAAAAAAAAAAAAAAAAAAAAGCCTAAAATAGGATTAATCTACAGATACTTACTGTTGTTACTGTTATATACAGTTTCAACAGTTTAAAAAAAAAAAAAAGGAATTAGTTTTTTCAGTATACATTGTCGTGCCCCTCGACTCTACAGAGTTTTTTTTCCCCCTCTTTTGGCTTATTGTTTTTATTTCATGGCCTTAAACTAAACTGTTCCTGTTTACTCTTGCTGCTTTCATAAGCTTTCTTCTTTGGTTACAACAAAAGAAGTGCACAGTTATGCATCATCTTCTCATTAGACTCATCGCACCATCGACATCTAACAAATTCTAAAGCCGCAACTTCACGAGCTCAGAACTTGCCAGTAATGTGTTTTTTCCACTGCCCTCACTTAACTAAATGAATTAATGCAGCGTTACAGTTATTATTACCCAAGTGCTTGTGCTCAGGTTTTACTGTGGTGTAGATGGATAGGTAATATATTACACATTAGACTAGTTGAACTTTTTTCGTTTGCCATCCACTATGAAACAAATTGTGGAGGGTAAATAAAACCCGCCATGCTGAGAAAATGCACGTGGAGGCTTTGCTGAATAAATGCTGCTCTGCTTTGGGTTCAGAAATTAGTACAAGAGGTGAAAAGAGACAACAATTATGCATGAACAAATAACTCAAGCAAATGCGTGGCAACATTCACGCAATTAGCAAGACGCTCAAACACTCTTGTTCACCACTTTATCTCATTTGTTGCCAACACGTTAGGATAAACAATACCCAGTGCCCTTCCCGAGTACCACTAAAATGCTGATATTTTTCTTTGAACAACAATAAAAAGTATTTTTTTTTCTCTTTTGCAAAAATCAAATAGATTAAGTACAAAACAGGACCACTGTTCATTACAGAAAAGTCTCGTCTTTTAAAAAACAGAGCTGCAGTTTGTGGGTGTGAAATTATTTATTGTGACTCAGTTTGCCAAATGAACAACCAGCACTCTCCAACAACAGCTTTTCTCTTCTGGATCTTTAAAGTGGACGCTCTGTGAATGTGGGGCGGTTACAATCTGTTGTTTATCATTTGTTTACAGTGTGTGTCCAGTATCATATACTCTTTGGGTCAATCTCTGGCCTCACTTTCATCTTTCAGACTGACACACAAACACAGATAGAGAGACGGATATATCAGACAACCCATAATAATATAATAGTTGGAAATGGCCGTAATTACATTCTAGTTTGCAGCAGAAATTAGAGACAGGATGTGACTGTGCTGATAACACGTATAGGAATGCACACATGGAGCGAAAACATTCACATGGTACTTGCTTGTTATTTTTCTCCATTAGAAGTTAAAATTACCATCAAAAACTAACATGTTTTTATTACACTTACAATTTTAACGACCTTTTATTGTGCTACTTGCACACTGAAGTCCTGCCGGTGATTAAAGTCCCGATACTCTCAGTGCCCAGATTCTCAGGACCCTTGTTGTATATCACACCCCTCCCCACATTTCCTGTTTGCTGAAAGATGTCTAATAAAAGAAAAATTACATTCACGCTATCCAGCAGAATCCCGTCCAACAAACACACAAGCCTCCAAAATGACTGTATATTTGTATAAACTTCACTCAGACTGTGTCAGCAGCTCATAGTGGGGTTCAGTGTAAATGCTGGAAAATCATGTGTATATTGTAAACTGTGAAATAAAGTGAATCTGTGCTCCGTGGCTGTAATGTAGAGCACAAAACTGTAGATATCACGCTGTAAACACTGACTGAATTCTACAGTCCAGATCCCAATAAGTGAATAAAGCAAGTTGCATAAGAAAAGGAAAGGTTAACGCAATGCAAAAGTGAAAACAAAAGAATCCTTTTTATCTACTACTTCATAATTAATATCTGCAGTATTACTGCAATTTCAACATTATTTACTACTTCAGCTACGTCTGCAACAACTACAAGTATCACCACTATTACGACTACAAGCGCCGCTGTCACTCCTACCCACACCTTTATAGCTGCTGATGTTCTACTCGACATCCTCTTCCTTCCTCTCTGTTTATCCACATCGCTCAGATAGAAGATACCTGAACCATCAAACTTGTCGTAAACACCTGCTGACAGAAAAAAGAACTGATTTCTTCATTACCTTTGACGTGGCTGATTTTGGCCTCATCCAACAAGCCAGAGGAGGATGCTCCCATATTGTAATGCTTCTCTTTATCTCAAATTACTCTGCAAAAGCTGAATTGTGTTGTTTGAATTTGTGCACAGAGAATAAACAGGAAGCCTATTCGTGCCACATGTCAACTGATCGAGCAGCTCTGATGTGTCGAGAGGCCGTTGCTCAGATCATTTCCTCTGCTCTGTGAGTCAGTGTGTGTGGTGAGCTGGGCGGGACTGGTGAAGTATGAGTGAAATCTGTCACAGGGGTCCTCACACTAACCGCAACATCATTTATCAAGTGTCACAACCTTCCCTGTAGAGCCATCTGCTGGTTCACTGAGAGGAAGCAACATTCTGATGACCCAACACAAAATACTAATCGTCTAACAGTGAGAGAAGATGAATATTATAAACAGTTGTTCTGGTAGCTTTCACTGTCTGTCTGTTGACATTTTACATATTTTTTTACTATAATGTTTGTATCTATCTTTAAGAACGACATTTTTTTTCAGGATCTCCGTAACATAAACTACTGTGGGTTCAGTATTCAGCCGCCTTCACTTTTTGCGCACTTTGTGTTTTAGATCTTTATTTTAAACTTGAAATCTACTTTGCAAAAGAAGTCAAATGTTTTGCTGATGTTCCAAACTAGGTTACGGTCCATCCTGTTTACTCTGTCATGATGTGTTTACAAGCTGACTTGAATCTGTCACCAACTGACTGAATGAATGTATAAAGGCACACACCTGTGAGTGTAAGGTCCCACAATCATTGCATGTTACAACAAAAACACAACCATGAAGTCTAAGTATAGATAGCAAGAGCAAAGAGTATAAACCCACTTCTACAAGTGTTCCAAGAGCACAGTGACCTCAATAACACAAGACTGGAACCACAAGGAATCTTCAGAGAGTTGAACCAAAGGTCCTTGGTCAAGGAGGGACCCAACAGTCATTCAAACATAATTTTCGAAGACAATTGCAGAGATAGAGGACCGACTAGGATGAGGACTACCTTCTCAGCAGCACTCAGTCAGTCAGGCCTTAAATAGTGTTTATGAAAGAAGGCTGACTTGGGAAGAAACTCAAGCACGGTTTCTATTGAACCTGGCTAATACCACCCCTACAGTGAGGCATGGTGGTGGCAGCATCATGCTGTCGCTGACTGTCTTTGAGTGAATCAGTCAAAGCCCAGATTTAAACACCACACATCATCTGTGTTATTGCTGCCAAAGGGGATCCTTCTAGGTACTGGATTAAGGATTTGAATACATAAAAACATTTCTGTTTTAAATTTCAAGAAATTTGCAAAAATTTGTAAAAACACTTTTGAAATGAAAGTCTGTAATTCAGGTTGTCTGGATACTGTCTGTCCTTTAATGTCTTCTTGACCTGTAACTCTCGCTTTAAAAGATCTCCTCCAGTGAAAAACAGTGATTTAAAAAAATATATTATTTAAAAGAGGGTCTTCTTTATATGTTGATATTAGGTTTTTTTTATGTGCTGGAAGACGTATCATGAGTGCAAAGCAGTCAACACCATGGTTGATCGTTTCCCCTTGAAACTGACGCTGACAGTCTCAGAAACACAGATTCAAACTTTCAGCGTTTCATACAAAACAAATACAAGGAACTTTCTGTCTCATTATTCTTCTTTAGAATCTGTTTCTGGTTTGAGCATGTATGAGTGAATTACTATAATGTGCTTGCGCTGCTGTGAGTGTAGAGAGAGACAGGGGCTTCATAGATCTGCACATTCGAGATGAATCAATGGTGAGTATTTATATTGAAGACATTTTAAGACAGAAGGAGGTTATTTTAAAGAAAAAACTTTTAAATATGTAACTCTGATACACAGAGATGAGTTTCTAGGGGTTTAATCAACAGCCAGAGAGGGACTTTAACACCATATTTAACATTATTTCAGGACATTTACATATAAAGATGTTTACCTAGTAAAAGTTTTTTTTTTTTTAGATTACCACCAATAAAGCATTCCCTAACTCAGTCATCAACAGCTGCACATTTGTAGGCTAAAATGAAAAACCTTTGGCTCAGTGGACAAAGGATATATTTCAGGGGGTTTATAAGCTACAGCGAAAGTCCTCAAAGCCAGGCCGCAGTGAGGTTTGGGAAACTCAAAAACAGACATTTTTACCTCCGCCAAACCAAAACTGTGAGTTACAGAGTAAATAGCAGCCTATGAGTCAGTAACATTGATGTTTCAGAACCTGTTCTAAACAGTCTTAGCTGCAACTTTGAATCAGCAGTTATGAATTATAACAAATACTGCGACCGTTGTAGTTATTGTAGCAGCAGATGGCCTCCTTAGTGACCGGGCCACATTTCATAGTCTTCAAATAGTGTGCAGGGATCTCCAGGTTGGAAGGAATTAATGGAGCTTAGATTTTTATGAAAACTTAGTATATTAGAACATGTGTTTTTTTTTTTACTTGTTTTACAGTTTCATTATAAAAAATAAGGTTCAGATCTTCTTCACTTCAGCGCAGATGTAATTGATAGCCATCGTTAACGTGAGCATACAGCCTTTAGTTTAAGGCTTTAGTTACACCTTTAGCTTTTCTGCTATGACAAGTCAAAAAGAGACACAACTGTTGGTTTATTTTCTGTCACTTGCATAAAACTCTCTGACTACACTAAACCAACTTGCTAATTTGCTCCTTTTGGTCTGGCAACACCCGATGTATTCAAAACTAGACGACCGACGACTCTCCTCTGTGTTTTAGTTACCATTGTGTACTCAGAGACATAATTTGTGGTGTGTATTGTATTCTATTATATTGTGAGATGTTTGTGTTAGTTCTTCCTCCTCATATTTTCCTTGGAGCACAATATTTGTTATATGGAAGCCAAAAGAGCCAGTTTGCTAAAAACCAAACCTGTGGAGACAACAACCAGTCAGTGACCTAGAAAGGACAAATATCCTTCCTGTAAAATCGTCCTTAAGAAACCACCTCCAACACCGCAGTAGGCTGCAAATGACAAGACCAGCTCTGGGTTGGAGTCCTTCTTTAAGATGCCCCAGTAGAAAACAGTTTATGGCCCTAAGCTGGATGTACAAAAGCTTATGTGAGAAAAACAAAAGCAGGCTTCACAAAGTGCAAAAAGAACATGATGCCTCTGAGGTGGAGCGCTTAAATCAGATGCTCTAAATGCAGCAACACATGTGAAGCCTGAGACCAAAAGTCAAATCTTTAGCGTCAGCTCTTAAAATGAAGCGCAGGGATTGTATTCCTAACATCACCTGAGCTATTTCCTCCATCCAAACCTTGCTGTGACCTCCTTGGCTACTCGATTCTTCCTAAAAGCTGTAAGCTGGGCTGTTCTGAATCATACTCTGCTTTAATGGCAGTTCTACTCAAAAAGGATCTACAATTTACAAAATGAACATCATGCTGTATTCAAAAAGTCTTGACATGAGCAACTGATTGCTGAGGTAACAAATCCAGTGAGAAGTAAGATCATTTTCTCATAGACTTCTATACACTCTGACTTCTTATGCAACCAGAGGTGACGGCCCCTGCTGGCTGGTAGAAAGAATGCAGGTTGAAGACTTCACTTTAACCTGCGTTTCCAGGCCTGGAGGCTTCGTGTGTCTTTGGGACAGAACCTTGGTCATTTTACGGCAGCCTTTGTCCACGTTCTGACTGCAAGAACCATGGAACTAGAGTTTCAGTAGCTAAAAAATCAGTAGCTCTAAAGGACACTATTTTTGACTTTAAACAAAAAATTTGTTTATTTAGTTTTTCCTTTTGGGTTAAAACAGAAAAACAAACAAATAACAGGCCTGCTTTATTAAGTTTTCATTTGAGGTTTAAAAATTTTCTCTTTTTTTGTTTTTAGTAAAATGTAAATATTAAAAATAGACCTATTTTCTCAATTTTTTATTTATTTATTTATTTTTGTTTAAAGTGGAAAAATGTAAATAATGTACATGTTTTCTTGATTTAGTTTTTTTTGTTTGTGTTGGTTTAAAACTGAAAAATTAAAAAGAAAAAATACTGGGTTTGTGCTTGAAAAAAAAAAGACGAAAAGGGGAAAGTTCTCATGTTTTCCTTTGTGATGTAAAATAGACAAAAAAAACTGAGCTGTTATCTTATTTTTATTCATTCATTTATAACAGTAAAACAAAAACAGGTCTTGTTTTCTCTGTTTTTCAGTTTTGGTTTGTGAAGAAATACAGTTCTACACTCCAGCACTCAGACCTGAGAGGACGGTTTAAAAGGAGGATTCAGATGTTTTACCATCTACTTTAACGCCCCTCTAATATTGATGAGCTTTGCTGGATGAGGCGGTTTTAAAACTGACCACAGCTGCATCATTTAACCAATCAGAACCTCTGTTTATTGCTCAGCAGCTGCTCTGATTGGCTGGCGGCTGCTCGTGCAGTAATTAGTGTCCAACCTGGATTCTGCCTGCACGCGCTCCCCTCTCTCTCTCTCTCTCTCTTTCCTCTGTGAGGCTCGCGCGCGGCCAGTCGTGTTTGGACCGGAGCCGGAGGATCAGTTAGTTCTGCCGGTACCACCCAGTTCACCGGCGACACGTCAGCCGGACAGCTCGAATTTTATTATTATTTGTAGTATTTGGATTTTTTTTTGTTTTCCAGCCATTTTAAAAATTGTTTGCAGTTAATTTTCTAACTAACTGCAGAGCGCAAAAGTTGAAGTGAGTTTTTTGCTCGTTAAAACCTTTGAGGACACATTTACATTTACTTTCTATTTAACTTTAATGGACTGTTGAGGGTTTATTCTCTCAGACTGCTCAGACACTACCTGATAATTACCTGGGAGCACTGAGGACACGCTGCTGAGGAGAAATGTGGCGCAAAGTGTCGCTGCTGATTTTGTGCTGCGCTGTGAGCGGACTCGATGCTCAGGAGGCGGACAGGAGCACCGACCCACCCCGGGATAAGATGCTGCTGGCCGGAACCGAGGAGCTGAGTCAGCCGGACAAAGATGCTCCATTCGCCGGTGAGGTGGAGGAAAGTCAGCGGGGAGGCGAGCAGCAGCTGCCGGGGACAGTCCAGCAGCCCACCGTGGAGCCTCTGGAGGAAGAGATGGACAACCAGGAGAACATCATCAGCCAGGTCAGCTCTTTTTATTCAGTACCAAACTGCACTAACAAATTTGCAAGTTGTCAATAAACTGCTTGCTGCGACCACAAAAAACTAGTAGGAGAAAGAATACACATATTTTCTAGATAAAGTAAAGGCACGTTTTAATTCGGCATCATTTAACACACAAAGCAGCATTCAGCACAGTGAAATAAGCAGCGTTCAAATGGTTTTCTCTCCAGACGTTCACTGTAAATCAGCTGTAAACTTGATCTGACTTGAAGTGAAGTTCTGTGTGGGCCATGGTAGTTCATTTAGAAAAATATATAATTGTGGGAAGTATTAACTTAGCTTGACCTATTTAACTTTCCTCTCTCCAGGCGACCTCATTTGATCCATTGTGTATCAGAAAACCTCCTTGAAGTCAGCTCAGCAAAACTTTCCATACACTTCATCAAGAGAAAAACCACAGGAGAATTAAAGGCACTTGTGCTTTTAGGACTCATGCTGCTTTGTAACTGTAAACCCTTACATTTTTCATTTCCCCTGTGAAATAGGATTGGGACACATGCAGGTTTTCCTTGCAGAACTTGGTCTATACTTGATTTTTCCTTTTAACACAACCCAAACCCCCAGATTGTCAGTTCAGCTTAAATGACGTGGTAAATCGAAGCCAGAGCTGAGTGTGTCTTTGTGTGTGTGTGTGTGTGCACTATGGCAACACTTTGCATCCTTCTGGCGGCTGGTTATGTAATATCGTTCAAACTGTACGTGCTCCAAACCAGTAAGTGCCTGTTTGTAAACGCCTGCAGCTATTCTTCTTCAGAGGCCACTCACCACTGCAGCTGCCCATCATCACACATGCTGCTGCTCCTTTTTCACTCTGAATTCTTGTGCTTCTGCTCAGAATATTCTGTAGACTAATAAACAGTGTCAAATATACAGTTGTGAACAAAAGTTTACACACACTTTGTATATCATTGCAGTCTTGAGTTTCCTATGACTCCTACAGCTCTTATTTTTCTATCATGGAATCATTACAACCCATGTGTCAGACACAACAATAAACATTTTGCTTCTTTTAGAGTTTCATTATCGGTCTTCTAGAAATATGGAAAAATCTCCTGGGTAAAAAATATACATACAGCAATGCTCATATTTGGCCAATTTCACCTCAACTGGACACTTTTGGTAGCAGTCTGGTTCTATCTTTTAACACTCCTGTTGACAGAATTGGTGCAGTTCAACTGAGTTTGTTGGCTTTCTGACACGGGCTTGTTTCTTCTCGAAGCAGTTTAAGTCAGGACTTTTGGGAGGCCAGTCTAAAACCTTAATTCTAGCCAGATTTAGTAGTTTATCTACCATTTTTGATAGGTGTTTTGGGTCATTGTCTTTTTGGAACATCCGACTGTGTCCAAGAACCAACCTTCTGTAATCCTCTTTTACTTTGTGTAAAGCACCGCTTCCACTCCAACTTCCACAGCAAAACAGCCCCAGAGCATAATACTGCCACCACCGTGCTTAACAGTAGGTTTGGTGTTCTTGGGGTTAAAGGCCTCACCTTTTCTCCTCCAACCATGTTTCTGGTCATTGTGGCTAAACAGCTCAATTTTTGTTTCATCCGACCACAGAACTTTCCTCCAAAAGGCCGTTTCTTTGTCCGTGTGATCAGCAGCAAACTTCAGCTGAGCTTTAAGGTGTTGTTTCTGGAGGAAGCACTTCTTTCTTGCAGCCTCTCAGCTCATGGTGATGTAAAACACACTTGACTGTGGACACGGACACCTGTGTTCCAGCAGCTTCTAACTCATTGCAGACCTGCTTTATGGTGATTTTTGGTTGACCCTTGACCATCCTGACCAACTGTCTCTCAGCAGTAGGTGATAGTTTGTGTTTTCTTCCTGATCTTTGCAGTGACACAATTGTACCATGCACTTCATACTTAAAATAGTTGTTTGCACACGGTCAATTTTGGGATCAGCAGCTGCTTTGAAATGGCTCTAAGTGATTTTCCTGACTTGTTCAAGTCAAAGATTTGCTTCTTGTACTCAGCTCCTTACACTTTCCCTCTGTAGCATTTGTAGCAAAGTCTAATGAGTGTATGAAATAGGCCCTATTTAAATTTGCTGACAGGAATCAGCAGCTCTAGTCAAACGTAATCGCTCACAAGAAGTTAAGGGGTCCTGCCACTTAGGAAATTTGATTAACATAACTTTTTTTTATCATCAAACTCAAAGTTAAAGTTGCTGTTTGTAGATTCTTGATCCAGCAGATTTTGTCAAGAAGACCGATAATAAATCTATGAAAAAAACAAAATGTATGAGTGTTTTTTTTTTGACAAAGAGCATGTGTTTCAATGATTCCTTCATAGAAAATTAAGAGTTATAGGAGTCATTGGAATCTCAAGACTGCCATGATGCAGATAGTCTTTGCAATTGTATGTAAACTTTTGTTCACTACTGTACATTCAAATGAATGATTACTACATTATTTTTTAAGTTTCCTCTGATTTGAGCAGTCTGGAGCTGAACAGGATACTGAGAAAGAAATACTTTGTCCCTCTTTTTCAGTTGCTGGGTGATTACGACAAAGTCAGAACGACGTCTTCAGGGTCCGACTGTGTGTGTCGCTGTATTGTTCGGCCCATCAAACGCTCTGACTGCAGCCGTATTCATGACAGCGACCCGTCCTCACCATCCCAGCATTTTTACACAGTAGAGACGATCACCAAGGGAACAGACTGCAAGAAGTGTGAGTGCATGGCTCCACCTTCAGCCGTGAACCCGTGCGAGGGAGAGTACAGGTTCAAAAAGCTGCAGGACGCCACCAAAGATGACATCAAGGTAGAAACACACAGTTCTGAGTTTGAACTTTTGCTTGAGATGTTTTCCATAATGAGTGTTTTCTTCTTTCTCTGACCTTCTGTCCTCTTTGTGCGGTTAATCTCTGTGATTTTGTCTGTTCAGCTGGCGACTATCATTGACCTGCTGGAGGGCTCTCTGTATGGAATGGACTTGTTAAAGCTGCACTCTGTCACCACCAAGCTGCTGAGCCGAGTGGACAACATGGAGAAGGTGAGCTCACATAGATCATATAGAATATTAATATCTTTATTTGTGCAGCACCTTTTGAAAACAGAGTTACAAAGTGCTTTACAATAGAACAAAATGTCAAATTAGATAAAAAAAATGAAAACAAATTCAACATGCAACATACACAAGATGAAATAACGAAGCCAAGACAAGTCAAGACAAAGTTGTTATATAGTAATAAGAAAAAAGAACTATGATTGGAGGTACGAAAATAACCTAACAAGACCAAACATTGTAGGTACCACCCTGTAGTGTTGTGAATATTTTACATATTATTGATTAAACCCTACAAAAGTTATATAAAATACTGCTTTACATGACTATGATACACATTAAGACACTAAAGTATTATTAATTATGGAGATTAACCTTACTAATGTAATAATAAAGCTGTACACTACAGTATTAGACATTTTTGAAATAACCTAACTTATATAAATACTGTGGCTAAAGCACTGCAGTGTTATTATTACTCATAGAGATTAAGCTGACTAATTTAAGGCTACATGTTGTTTTTGCTGATGCTTAAGAAAGAAAGTCACAGCTGTAAGTTTTCAGTGTTTCAGCAGCGAAAAGCTCCTGGAAAAAAAAAAAAATCTTAATTGTCACAGTTTACATAGTTGCAGTCAGCTGGGGTTGTTTACAGCCGCTGCTAAAATACTTTTGGATAGGATGATCCCACTTAACTCATCCTCAAATGGAAAATTACTCCACATATCATGCAGCTGTCCTGTGGTTTAACTGGCTAAATTTAAATGTACTAGAATAAGCGAATTCCTCTTCATGTCTGTGCACGTGATGGTGAGAGTGAAAGCCCAGCTTCTCAACAAATACAAGCAAAGTGTTTATGGCTGAAGATGCTCCTCTCATAGATTAAACAGGTTTCTTCCAGTTGGGTAATAAAATGTGACATCTGTGCGCTGTGGAATGATGTGGGCTTGGAGGGAGAGAGGACAGAAGTGGGAAAGTTTCTCTGTGCTCACCCTAAATATGAGTTTTACACGTGTACAAACCAGAAAGATTTATGACATCGCCACGAGCCTGGAAACCAATCATGGTTCAATATGCAGCGTCCACAAATATGATGTGGAAACCTTCAAACCTCCAGCACACATACACTGAGAATGAACGTTTCAGCGAAGTAGGAGGCGTCTAGCGTTCAGCAGTTAAACTTATGAAACTTTAGGTGAGGGAGGATAAGGAGATGAGATGTCATTTTTAGCATTTGACACAAAAAAATTAAAGAATTTTCTATATTTTTAAGGGTAGTTAATGTTCCTTGACAGTAGAATTAGGGTATTCTATCTCAAATATCACATTTCTGCTCAACCATCTCTGAATTGCCAGAAAATGCCTGAAAACTTTATGACATAAAATATAAATATTTATATTAGTGTTTGTGAAATTTTTGTGAGATTTTGCGAGATAAATCATCAGCACATTTGTTTTTTTGCACATATAAATTTGAGGCTGTTTCAATGATAATATATCAGGAAGCCTCAAATTTAAATGTGCAAAAAAACAGGCTCAAAGTAGGTTCATGTGCAAGTTTAGAATAAAGGGAGAAAAACGTATCTCAGAAAGTGCTTGATATGTCAATGAAAAATTTCACAGATAATATTTTAAATAGTTAAAGTTTATGATTAAAAAAAGGTTTTAGCAAATTATAGATGTCCGAGCAGAAAGCCCCTGATGATTTGAGATGGAATAACCCACTGGTGAACACTTTAACCATCACTGTATTTAGATGCAGATTAAAACTTCCATTCCATCTGAAAGACAAAACATTTTTAATACCCAAGCTTTGTAGGCTCAAACATTGACTGTGTTTACATGGACTTGAATATCATGGAAATTATCGGGGTTTTGAAGTATCCTGTTTTTATGTTGGTGCATCTAAACATCATATCCTGATTTCAGAAACTTGGATGAGCCTTTATCCTGGTTTTGAGAAACCAGACTAGGCTAGCTGGAGTACTGTTGCATATTTACATCTTTTTTTCCGGCTTGTATCCGCTGCCAAATATCTACAACTTCATCCAAATGACAAACAGAAACACAAACTGTCTGAATAGCTTCCTCTTGACTTGGAACTCTGATGAAGTGACCCATAGCTTTGTCCACCATATTGTGGCAGAACTTAAATGCGGATTTTTTTCACTCTGCATCTGTAAATCTCAAGCTGGTTAGCAAACCAAGTGATTTTCCCCACAGCTACCCAGTTTGGACAACAGTAAGGCCACTCTCAACAGTCGCAGAGCTGTTGCTTGTACTGGTGTTTCCTCTGGTTTTGTAACAGCCACTGAAGGGATGAACGACACCATTAGAAAACTATCTCACCAGTCACGGCTGCATATCTTCATCCACTGCTCCCTTGTCCTGCATGGTGACAGTAACAGCCTGAACACTGGTCAAAGTGCGAGACAGGTTTAATATTTCCTGTCGCTCTCCTCTCTAATTGCTGGAAAAAAAGGTGGCTTTGCAAGGCTATTTTAGTTTTTAATAGTGGTAAGTCTGCTAAAAGCCTAAGTAGCCTCATTTTTAATAGCCACACAGTCAAAGGAATCAAGGTTAGACAGTTACAGAATGTTTCACTCCAGAAAACAGCAAGAAACAGTAAGAAAACAACACACAGTAATCAGTAACTGGGACAGCAGTATTTATTATGTCAACAGGGGTTTAAGTGACCAGATATCTCTGTGTTTCATGTTATCACCACATCACAAATATGATTACAACCAGGTGTACATGTAAACACTGTCACCCCAAAGGTCGTACATCAGTTCACAGCTGCATCGAGAGCATGTGATCGTTTTTTGTTCTTCAACCATTCAGGGAGTCGTTATGCCTTGTGTTCAGTTTAGTTTTTCTTTTACTTTGTCAGTAGTCTGTGTACAGTTTGAGTAAACTCTTGTGAATTGCTCTTCAGGATGAACAGTGTAGTGTTTATCCTTCATGTCAACCTGTTTGTGCACTCCAGGCGTTCGTTGGAAATTTTACCGAAAGAGCGAGAGAGAAGGAACGTGCGAAGGAAAGAGCAAAGGAAAAGGAAAAAGACAAGAAGGCCCAGCAGAAAAAAAAGAAAGTCAATGACTTGGAGCGCTCAGGACCTAAAAGTGGAGCAGCAGCCTACGCCAACAAGCAGGTATGAACTTTCTAAACATCTAACAGATCAGGGGCCAAAACATATCCCCAGATTTTAAAGAATGATGTTTTCTCAAATGAGAAGTTTATATTCTTTATATTTTCTTTTGCAGAAGAATTATGACAGTCATCTGAAGAAAAACCAGCAAGATGGTCTGGAGCAACAGCAGCCAACCAGGAACAAGACAGAAGCTCAAAAGCCCATCAAAGAGAAGACAGAGCCAAGGCAGCCAATCAAAGACAAGAACAGTGTGGTCATCAAGGGCGTGACCTTTTACAAGGCAGCGGAAGAGACCTTCATGGGGGGAGAGAAAGGGAGAGGAAAGAATAGTGAGTTTAATGCACTCCTATGGCTAATGATAAGCTTTTAGGTGACATGGAAACAGCCATTATAGTGACCTTATGGCTGAGATTTAAAAAAAAAAAAAAAAAATATATATATACTGAAATGTTTTTCTTGTCTTACAGCCACTCTAACCTCAGATGTTTCACTGGACTTGCTGATCTCTGACCAGCTGCCGCCTACAGTAGATAAAACTGTTACCACAAAACCAGACAAGGATCTGTCAAGGTCCCTAAGCAGTCCGGCACCAACAGCTCCACCAACAACCAGCCGACAAACCACAACTACAACCAAACCAACTCCATCCACCATCAAACCGACGACTGAAATAACCCCGACAACAACTATAAGACCAACAACAACCAAACTGACAACTCCTTCCCAACAAACTACCAGAACTACTGTTCGGCCCAGCACCCAGCAAACCGCTTCACCCTCAGACACCATTATCCGTCCACCCAGTGATGCTTCTCCCACCGCAACGTCTAAACCCGGACCCAAGAGTCGACTCAGCTGGACGGAGAGTCCCACTGACCAGCTGAAGACCACCAAAAAGCCTGGTACGGATACAGAGATGAGCCAAAACTTTATGACTGCTCACAAGTAAATACCGTTTAGTATCTTGGTAAACGCCAAATGTAAAGGTATATATTAGATGAAAGTAAACAGTTGAATCTCAAAGTCTTTGCAAATTGGATGCAGGAGATTGGGCAGGTGTGAAGAGCTGAGCAAGTTGGACAAAGGCAGGGTTGTTTTGGACAGATAACAAGGGTGGAGAAAGGCAAAGGGCAAACCATGACCTGGTTTTAGGGTGTTGGTAGTAATGCTGGTCCATCTGCACAGGGGTCTCTGAGATGTCCTAGTTTTGAAGGGTTGAAGCTTTTATAGTTGCATGCTAAGAACCAAGAGCATGTTTGACAGGCGTGGTGATGATGTTTTGGCTTATCAGTCTTCATATAACATAATTTATCTGACAGTGAGTTCACATATTTTATATCTTTATTCACGCTGTCACTTTCCCTGTGTGCTCTTACAGCGGTGTGTAAAGACACGGTAGCTAGCATCTCCGAACCAGTCCAGCAGAACTCCTACGGCCTCAGTGATGGAGCCTGGATGAGAGATGCTCGCGGCCATGGAAATGTCATCTACCTAACCAATGGTCACTATGGCAACAATCTCCTGGAGTTCAGAGACATGGACACCTTCAAATCAGGTAGAGGAGTTTGTGTGTTGAGGAGCCTGAATTCCTAATCTACCTCCAACCAGTCCAAATCATTCAGCCATGTCTGGTTTAAAGATTGTTTTTACAACTAGTGACTAAATTAGCAGCAGAACACTTCCTTTGTTGTTACCACCAAAGGTCGTGAGGCAAATCTACATCCTAAACTCCAGACAAAGTCTCAGTTTCAGGTTCCCTAATCCATCCCATGACACAAATCTGCTAGAACAAGTCAGTCTTTTTGGGTCCTGTTGACCTCGGCTTTGTTCAGCTGTGTGTTTTTTTGTTTTTTAATCTTTAAGCTGTTGGCAATGATTTGTCTTGCACTATCCAACCACCTGACTTTGAAATATTTCTGAGGTGTACACGAGTAAAAAAAACTGCTTTTATAAAATCTCTATGACTCCTATTTTTCAGCAACAATTGCGGTAATTGGAGCAACAATTTGATCAATTCAGTGAACCTTTCTTGAGGAAAACCAGTGGTGGTTCTCATAAGTTTTAAAAAACATTTGCATCAACAATTCATGCATGAAGTCATTCAGCAACAAACTAGCACTCCACCACCGCTGGCAAGTTGAAAAATCTACTGAAAAGGAAAACCGACGAGCTGTATGACTCGAATGAGTGGAAACTGACAATAAAAGACCTGCCAGACAGTTTAGATTAATAGATTACATTTAGAGCTGACATTTCTAAATTTCCGTTTGACAGCTGTGTGTTTCAACATCACAAGGGCTTGCACTTACAGTTTGCAAACCTCAGATTCAAAGTTTCTTTTTATATATTTAATCCTCTAAGAATATTGGCCCCTGTTGTCTTTTTTGAGGTTTTCACACGTGTGTTTTTTTGCGTTCCTTCTGCTCAGGTCAGGCAAGTAACTCGTACAAGCTGCCCTACAGTTTCACGGGAACAGGCCACGTTGTATTCAATGGAGCTTTCTACTACAACCGTGCCTTCAGCAGGGATGTCATCAGATATGACCTGAGACACAGATACGTAGCTGCCTGGACCACATTACATGACGCTTTACTGGAGGAGCAAGCTCACAGGACGCAGACTGAAGTAAGACTGACAGTGTGCTTTTACTTTGATTTTGATTTAACTGCATGAGAAACACATGATGCATGATGATTTAAATTTGAGGCATGTGGACGTGGAGCTCTTTAAAGGGTCACTTAAGGTCACTTAGGGGAACAAAAACACTACAAATCACTAAATGGGTCAAAAGGGCAAATAGTAGAACTAGGAACAACTGCTGGAGTTGTAGAAAACAATTATAAAAGAAAAAATCAACATTTTGTTTGTTTCTGAGAGTGAGATGGGAAGATAAGTACGGAGTTGTAGTTAGGAAGCGATTGGTCTCTTTATAAAAACGTGACTGACTCTTCCTGAACTTCATTCAAACACGTCAACATCAGTAAACATCCATATCGACATATTTTGTCTTGTCAGTTTCATCTATTAGCTACTCATAGTTAGCGGATGTAACTCATATTATTTATTGACAAATATCTGCCTATTGGGCCACATTGGTTTGTGTGATAGAATGCTTTAGATCGTGAGTTTTCCCAATACATTCAGTCTTAATACGAAATTAAGCCTTCAACATCCGAAGTTCATCGTACTGCACAGATATGATTCTTTTTAGCTCTTTTGTCAAACAGAAATTGCAAAAGCACTTTTCTTGAAGTGTGGAACAATTACTGTGCTCAGTGGGTACGACATCAATTTTGTTGTAAGTTTAAAAAAAAAAAAAAAAACAAGGAAAATTATGTGAACTATGAATCCTGAACTAATTCAGGAAAGCAATAGAAAGGAAAACTTGTAATGGAGGGGAATACTTTTTATAGATGCTATATCTGTTGGTTCATCACTACAAGTACCCACCAATACCACATACAACTTATTCCATTGTTAATCTGAAAACTGTGATGGCTGCCAATGTCTAAACACAGTAAAAACTTTATTAGGTTGAGGCTTTAAAGCTGTATATTTGGTCCTCTGAGGGTATCATTATGTTTTATGTTCCAGGTGGAGTTTGCTGTGGATGAGTCCGGCCTGTGGCTGCTGTATCCGGCTCTGGACACTGAAGGCTTCCACCAGGAAGTGATCCTGCTCATCCACCTTCATCCACGAGACCTTCAGCCGATACGAACCTTTCGCACGGGTCTTCGGCGTGGTCGCTATGGCAACAGCTTCCTGGTTTGTGGCGTGCTCTATGCAGTCGACACGATAGAACGTCGCTACGCAAACGTGACGTACGCCTTTGACACACACACACTCACGCACACTGTGCCGAGCCTGGCGTTCACGAACATGCACACACACACCTCCCAGGTGGCTTACTGCCCACTGGACAAGAAACTGTACGCATGGGACGATGGACATCAGATGATGTACGATATCATCTTTGCTTATTAGCTCAATGAAGCACACAGACGTGGAAGAAATGAGGGATGTTCTGCATCTTAACATATCCAAGAATGAAGCTGAGGACAGAGAAATAAGATGTTACCTGAACAGATATTTAATCAGTGTTTTGTTTCTAAATGACTGTGGATCAGTCAGGTGACTTCAGCTGCAGCCAAACACGCCAAAGTCACTGAGAAGAGAAATCAGACAACAAGCAGAAATGAATTCATATTTGGAAAAGGGCAAAACTCCCTGGGCGACATGAATGAATGTAAATTTATGGTCACACATTTTACTCTTTTTCAACAAGTGGAACATTTCCTATTATTATGAGAAACCATGTATACCTGTTCCTCAGACTGTGGTGGAAAGATCACAGAGGAACTGAGCACGCATTAGTGCACATTAACCACACAGAAATGGTTCCAGAAAAGCAAATGAATGCCCATGGTAGTCCGTCTCATCCACAAGATCTGCATGTTTATTTTGCTTAAAAATAATGACCACTGCAGAGAAAACTTTCTGTCTCTAAAGAAAGAATAAGGAAGGACCTTCCACGAGTCTAGTGCGTTTCAACAGAAGTCATGTGATGATAAGGTGACGGTGGATTGAGCTCAGAAAAAAAAAAAACACTTTGTGTGAGGGTTTGACCAAACCTCACTTTGTCAGGTTTACCAGACATGAGGAGCCTGTCGACTTTGGGAAAATAGCTGTACAAGGTCATCTGCTGTGGAACAGTTTAGTAAAATTAGGGACAATAGGCTTCATACATCAGATTTATCATCTGAGCTTTGGCTTTAAGACTACAAATTGTAGTCCTGTTGTGTAAACTGGGAAGATAGAAATACTTAGTCACATGCTGTAGTAGAGGCATGCCATTGCATCATGGGATCTGATATTTTTGGGGTTAAAAATCAAGATATCTCAACATCTACTGCATCAGTTTTGACTATTTAAAAAGTAAATTACCTAACACGGGCTGCACGGTGGTGGGTGGTTAGCACCGTTGCCTCACAGCTAGAAGGTCTCCAGTTTACGTCCCGTTTAGGACGCCTGGGATCTTTCTGTGTGGAGTTTGCTTATTCTAAATTGTGAGTGTGCTTGATTGTTTGTCTCTAAGTGTAGCCCTGGTGACCTGTCCAGGGTGTCCTCCTTCACCCTGAGTCAGCTGGGATAGACTCCAGTCTCCCCACGACCCTGGTGAGGATTAAGCGGTGTATAGATAATGGATGGATTACCTAACATTACTTACATGCAAAATAATGGTGAATTAACCCTGTTTAATAATGTATTCACATCAGATAACGTGTGCCTGTAAAAGCTTATTCCTCCAATATCCAGCAGCTTTCCAAAAACCTCTTGTCAGGAAGCTGCTGTAAAGGTCAGAAATATATTGTCAGGTTAAACCAGACTTGTGTCTCATTTACTGTGTTGAATTCCAGAGGGTAAAGACTGATTCTTTATACTTTTAAGTGTTTAATGTCAGAGCATTTAATGTCAGAGTAATGCATTGATTTAATTTTGTAACAAAGCAGCAGGTCAAATGTCTGTACTGTATGTTTTCATTACTGTATGTCTGCTGATGTGCTGCATATCATAAGCTTTTTATACTGGTGTTAAGTTAATTCATTTAAAACACACTCTTTTTTTACTTTAATAGCACATGCTCCACACTGCTTCGCTTCTTGTAAAGACAAAAAAATCCCACGACAAGGTTGACTCTGACCGCCTAACTACAATCTGTTTTGTTAATTTATAATAAAATGTTCAAAAAGATGAAGGCGAGGAATCATTTTCCTGTCTTTCTAACGACCCTTTCCTCTCCGTCCTGCTCCTCTGTGAGTCTGTTTGCCTGTCCGGCCTGTTGTGAACATTATTTGTGGGGTCTGATTTAGTTTTCCTGGAAGCAGCAGAACCCCTGGAAGGATCCCAGAGTGGAAAACGAGCCCCAGGCCAGATGCTGGTGAACCTCCGACTGGGAATGCTCAGGACACAGACCAGTGCTTGGAGACCTCAGATAGATTCAAACAGGGTGATGGACTGCAGTTTGATAAGATGAAGAGCTGCCGCACGTCATTCCAGTCTGGCTTTTTTCAGCTCGGCTTCATTCTTTTCACATGAAATCTGTCTGTCTCAACTCGAAACTGTGAAGTTAAAATCAAACTATTTAAACAAGAACACATGATCATAGCAGGGGTGCATGCGTTGAGTTCATATCTGCTTCATGGACTACTTTATGGCCCCTTTGCACCCGTCCTGACACATGGCTGCTAATGGACTCTCCAGAGAACTCACACACACAAACTTTCCAGGGAAATATTAAGTGCAAAATAACTACTCCCTCCTAACCTTCATGCCACAATCTTACCTGCCCTGTTTTTCAGCAAGAGCTGCAAATAATGAGACAAAACAAACTTGTAAACGGACAGAAATTAGACTATTAGAAAAGAGCTTTCAACAATTTCAAGATGAACGAGCAACGTAAACTACATATTAACTACAAAATGCATGAATTAGAGCAGGAATGTTCCACTAAAGCTCACTGGATCCACCGGAGATGACTTCAAAACTTATATAACCATCATGTTTATGCGGTGGTGTGTGGTGAGTGACCACCTAGCAGGATGCAGAAGAAAGACGCCCATTCACATCCACTGAACACTTGCCAAGTGGAGTGAATGCATGTGTGTGTGGTGGTGTCCTGCACAACTGTCAGTCTTTGAACTACTCGCTCTGTAAGTCTGAAAGCTGAGGGGGCCACACACACGCTAGAAAACACATGCTAAGGATGCTATCAGTCCAAGTTCATAGGACAGAGCGTCTGGTTTGCTGCACACACGTGCACCCGTTGCATAATGTCGGGTTTTAAAGATAGAAGCGGTATCTAAATAGCCATTCCTGCCTGCCACCGAGCTGAAACTCTGAACAAAGAGAGAAAAGAAAGCTGGGGACAAAAAGGGAAAGAGGTTATCATGGAGATCAAGATCTTTGGTTTGAAAATGCACCCGCTCCGAGGTCATTTATATTTAACTATGGAAAAGAAAAGGCTGGCTGAAAATAGGCCTCGGTTAGGAAAGAAAAGGGGAACAAAAAAAGCAGTGAGGGTAAAGATCCGTGGAGAAAAGGAGAGTGGATGAAAGGTTAGAAGTCAGAGGTCAGGAAAGGTGGAGGAATGAAGATCAAACAACATCATAAAACTCACATTCAACGTGAGGCCAGGGGAGCCTTAAAGGTCTTTTGTCGATGTCAAAGACATCATGAAGACAATTTTTTCGGCCAGTTAGTAGCGTGACCTCTACTAGAAGACAGATGGGCTAAAATCTGCCGCCTGAACACCTGCATGAAGTTCAGCACCCGGACGGAAAAATGAAAACGATAAAAGTTTCACTGCATATGCGATAGTGTTTTCTTTGGACGTGACTATTTGCTGGTTTATAGTTGAAGCGGTGTTACCACTGGAGTGAGTGTTATTGTGAACAAATCTTACAATAAGATCAAAACAAATACGTTCTGACTTCCCTGCTCTGTCTCTGCAGCCTCAGTGGTTCCAGCTAAAGATGTAAATCTTTCAAAGAATCCAAAGACTTCATTGTCAGATGAAGCAATAAAGAAGTTATGAGTGCAATGAAATTCTTACTTGTCTCTGCTAAGTGCTGCGATTACCCAGAATACATTCTATCAGACACACTCATCACTTCCATCCACTCATACATGCTGTGGTGAATGTACAAGAACATTGCCAATACAGGTTCTGTACAGAGGGTCGGACATTGTTTTTGAAAAGCATGTATAATAGTCATTGTGTGGAAAAGTTAGGATCTGCTGATAGGAGTGAGGTAGTGTTGAATATACAAAGAACAGAGCAAAAACACAACGTGCTAAAGAAACAAAAATATGTGCAATATTTATGGTGCAGAGGTTAACTTGTGCAAAAATATACAGTAGTGTAAGATTGCACTAATCCTTTGGTCAGTCTACTTGCCTGGGAGTAGAAAATAAAATAAAAAGTTCAATTGAAACTGTAGAAATTCCTTTTTTAAGAAGACTCAGTACTGTGAGACGAACACAGGAGGTTTTAATACAGTTTACAGGCGGAGACAGTGCATTTGTTGGGAACTATTTTCTCTGGTGCATTAATACATATTTAGTGTTCTTGTGGGATTCATTCAAAATAAAATGAAAGAATAAGTGGCTCACTGATGTGTTTAAGGACAACAATTAGCTCTGAGGAATAAAATCTATCAGGTTTGGATGCAGACCTACTGCCTGTTGGTAGAATACATTTCCTGTTGGTTTTGTCGTTTTTGTAAGATTTGTTGATTTTAAAACAAAATATCAAGCGACCAAGTCTCCAGAAACATTGGAACCTGCTCTCTAAATGCTGGAACATATTTATTCCGCCGCCTTTAAGCTGCAGAGAGCAGCTGAGGCCCAGCGGGACCTGAACAGGCTCTGATCAACTTTTCCTACATGTGCTCTTCGTCTGTGAGCAGAAACTCAAGTTCTGCAAAAAGAGCTGCACTCTGACCAGCTTTACAGCTTGTTTCTTATCAGAGGTGACTTTTTATAAATGTCCTGGCATTGTTTTTATTTTTGTCATACTACCATTACTGCTCTTGAAGTTCTGATTTGCCACTCAGCTGCTTGTTTTCTGCTGAAAAGTTGAATTAAATGCTGATGCATCCTAAAGACAAAAAACAAACAAAACAAAAACATAGTTTTACGTAGTATAGATCCAATACCATCACACACTAGCTGTAGATCAGAGTAAAATTTGGAAAAAAAACCTTTTTGCTGAAACAGCTGGACACGGTCAACAAACCCTCCTCTGACTGTCACCTCAAGGCTGAAACATGATACTGCATTAAAGCTACGCTGAGCTTTGCAGATGCAAATCTACCAGCTGTAGCCATGTCAAAAACATGTGCAACAACCGGAAATATACGTTTTCTGCTCTTGTTCATGTGTTTGTTGGTGTTTTGTTTTGCCCCAGCAGCAGGAAAACCAGAGTGGACAAAGAGTGTTGTTGTATTTTACTGGGCTGAATTCTGAACTTTACAGGGACATCATGTGTAAAAGATACAAATTAAACAGAAAAAGCCCAAACCCACAGACAGACGGCCAGACAACAAACAGAAACAACCATGTATTACTGTTCTTTCATAGACTTATTCTGGAAATCTTCTGGTCCTCAGGAAATACGACAAAATCTGCTTGGCCAAAAACACACACACAGCAACTTGAATCATCAGTTTTGGTGATTTACAAAGTCGTGTTAATCTAATTTTCTTAGTGGCGTGGCCTCTTTACTGCTTGTGAGGGATTGCGATCGACTACAGCTGCTGACTCCTCTCAGCCAATTTAAACAGGATCCATTTGATAAACTTATTAGAATCAGCCACAAATGCTGCAGTGGGAAAGTTTGAGGAGCTGAGTACAGATCTGAAGAAGCAAATCATTGACTCAACGAGGCAAGAAAGTCACTTGTGGCCATTTCAAAGATGCTTTAGATCCCAAAGTCATTTGAGAGAACTTTTGTTTGTAAGTATAAAGTGCATGACACCGTTGTGTTGCTGCCATGATCAGGAAGAAAACAAACTATCACCTGTTGCTGAGAGGCATTTGGTCAGGATGGTCAAGGGTTGGCCAAGAATCACTAAAATGCAGTTCTGCAATGAATTAGAAGATGCTGGAACACCGGTGTTAGTGTCTACACTGTTTTATATCACCTGGAGCTGAGAGGCTGCCATGCAAGAAGGAAGATCTCCCTCTAAAAGCAACACTCTAATGCTCGACTGAAGTTTCTTGCTGATCACACGGACAAAAAAACGTCTTCTAGACTCTAGAAGACATTTTTTCCTCTAGAATCTAGAGAAAAGCTCCGTGGTCAG